TTGGTGCCGTTGTTGAAATGTTTCGTTTTGAAATACGCAGTTGTTGACAATATTTTTTTGTGCGAAACATTACTTTGTTTTTGAGTCATGAAGTCTGTGAGAATGAGCAACCACCATCAGGAAAAAAAATGCCGCGCTTGAGTCAAGTATGTTGGTAAAGGAGGAGGAGGAGGAATTTGCCATTGTTTAATTACCTATATCAACTTTGTATCGAAACACGGTCAGTTTGGCCACTCTTGATTTCATCAAAATATATAATCTACAACCTGGCGATGCGGCAGTTCGACTTACACTGGGGCCCCGTTAACTTGAATTTGGTCGACGCGAAGCCTCTTTGTAACTCGAACAAGATCCGATTTCCCTTGACCCATTTTTTCAGTCATTTTTCCTTAACAAACTCGAACCCCACTAGCTTGAACCTTTTTTCGCTTTCCTTTGAAGGACTAGTTTGCAGGGTTCTACTGTATCGCGTTTGGTGTTTTTTTCCCGTTTTTGTTGCCGTTATTTTAAGCATTGCGCCACTGTTATATCGGTTGTCTCTATTTATGTTCCACCTTCAACTGGTTAACTTTCGGTTTCTAAATTACCAAAATAAACAAGTAGTGCATCACCAAATTCTTTAGCTTTTTGCATTCAGTTCGTCATGACCAATTTCCATAAATCTCGGATCATGTCATGAGGTGCACAAATGTTTCATCGATTTTTAAACTCGATTAAAAATGACTGTGCTAGGAGGTAAAAAGTTGAAGAGGAATGAATTAAAACTTTGAATCTTCTGACCAGTATCTAATTTCTCCTTACATTATCACTCTGAATCAAACACAGAGGTCTTGTGGGTAATTTGTGTGTAAATTTTTGATAGGTTGGTTTCGCACGGATATGAAAGTTGTAACTTTCACAAAGTATCATCACTGCTTGACTCCAGCCTAGATAAAGTACTGCGAGAAGTTTTTTTATTTATATATATATTGAATGAGCAGCAGTTTCTTATGGCCAACATTGCTTGATTTTGGCCCTTGTAAAGTACAGCTCTTCATGAAAATGTTCTCTAATTATTTATTAAAAATTATCAGTCACAGTGACTCAACTCTGTTACTCCTGACAGTGACTCGCATCTACTTTCTCCTTACAAAAACATCCCTGAATCACACATTAACCCTTATGAGTGACCAACATTTAATTTCTCCTCACAACATCACCCCTGAATCACACATTAAGGTCATGAGAATAAAGGAGATGATCACCAACTTAAGAAGCTCTTGATTGTCATACAAATTCTCCTTGTCAGAACCCTAGGAAATGTCTAGGGAGTAGTATGGAGAATATGCATACTGATGTTGGGGAGTTAAGTGTTAAGGTCACGGGAGTAAAGGAAATGATCACCAACTCAGAGAAGCTCTTGATTGTTAAACAGATTCTCCTTGTCGGTGCCTCAAGAAATGTATGCAGATCAGTATGGAGAATATGCATGCTGATGTAAAGGATTAAGAAAATTGTAATTTGTGGTAATCCTAGTTAGCATAAATTAATATTTTGTCGGCGCGTATCAGAGGACTAGGGGCGGATGCGAGGTGCGCGGAGGGTTATGGGATTGTGGTGTGTGAGTAGAGGTCGTTAGTAGGGCAAGGCATTCTACGGTCAGTCTTCAACGTGTTTAGTTGTTCGTTTTCGTTTTTGTATAGATTTTGAGCTGTACTTGCATACTACCTTGAGTAACTGTGTATAATATGTCATTCACAGGATACCCTGAAACCTCAAGGGTGGCACCGCTGCCTTGGTTGGGGGTAAACGTACCCCGTTTTTTCCACCTGCTGGTTTTAAGGGGTTTTCATGTCCGGCTTTGGTGCATTTAGTTTACTTCAATCGTAAGACTTCTGTAAGCATATCGATTTGGCGTTAAATAAACGATGGCTTTGCTGACCAACGCGCTCAGATATCAACTCTTTGTGTGCCCGGTTGAGTAGTGGAGGCAAAGCTAGAAAAGGTTAATCATAAGTTCATCATGAAAATGTTTATTTATACGTGTAAATTTCTATAAGGAAATACACCTGCAAAAACACCCGTTGTAAATCTCATCTACTCAAGTTTAAAGACTTGTTTTTGAAATCATCCATTCTTAGTGTACAGCCATTGCTCGTGTGAATCACATGCCATTGCAATACTACTTAATGTATTAAACTATAAGTCGATTCTTAAGTTATGCATACAGTTCAAAAAAGCACTGAATTTGTCTATGTCCCTTGAATGCCGAGTTTTTTTTTTAACAACCCTTTGTTTGTTTTTTCCTTAAACACAGCAAGTATTCATTGAAAGTTTGAATCAAAAACGTTATAACCACAATCTCTTTACTGATATATGCTCCAATTAAAGACAAATCCCTTAAAAGCTATTGGCGCTTATTTACAAAACTAGATTTTTTTAACTACCTCATATTTCTTTGTCTAAAACTTAAAACTGGATTTTGTACCACTATGAAGCCGTTTTCCTTCATGTTCATTACACACCACACAAAGCGTTAAGTACAGTTAAAACAAAAAAAAATGAATGATTCAATCTTAGGATATTACACGCCCATTCAAATGTCAAACCTGCTCATAAATACATCTTTTTAGTGTATTTCTTTTTTAAGAGCTGATTAAAATTACGATAATCGCCAAACGGTATTCGTATCTTAATTTAATCATTCCTCATCTAACTTTCATATAACGCGCTCGTAAAGTCCTGCTTTCAGACCCCTGATCAACAACGGTCCTCAGAGCGCCTTTCATCTTAATCTTGAATAATATTAATATAATATTAATCAGTGCCTTCCAGCCTAATCTTGAATAATATTAATCCTATTAATCGCAATCAGATACTGTGTCAGATTGCACTGATAAGTCGGTTTCTTTTCAAACGTCTTGTATAACACGCGCATCAGAGCGACGTTACTGTTCTATACTGTCCATTGATCTCTTGTGATTTCTGGCCATTGAGTCTTTGACTGCTGTCTCTTCGTTTTGGAGGATCTGGTTTTGTTGGATGACCACTGTTCGTGTGCACTCCACTGGTGTTCTTTGGCTCATCTTGCTTAGGAGGCTCTATCACCCAATGGATAACATTTTTAGCATCCTTCTTTCGCTTTGCCTCCTCATCAGTCGCCATCAATCTACTCAGAAGTCGCTCCTCTGCGATCTTTAATCGTTCGTTTTGATTCTCGTCATATGACAATCTCTTTGTCATTCCTTTGTACGGCGGGCTTCGCGGATTGCCAACGGTCAAATGGTCGGAATCGCCGGAACTTTCCGAGCATGAATCGGAAAAAGGCAGCGAAGTGTCCGATGATTTATCGGAACCGGCCCGATGTCTGTCAAAATCTGAGCGGTGGAAATTGGTTGGCAAAGTGTAAAAATGCCTTTCCCTAAATTCGCCTTCGGAAGTTTTTATTGCGGCAATGTCGGACTGTGATCGTGGCCTTATTTCGGCAATCTCTGGTTTTCGTAACGTGTCGCTTCGATACGAATCACGTTTCTGGTATTCGGGTCTTTTCGGGACATCCGTGGCTGAGCGCCGTCTGGGTAGGTCTGGAACTGTTAGTCTGGAAAGAGTGGATGTGACGTCATCAGTAGAGGACCTTATTGATGACGGAGGAGAATCATCACTTTTTAATGACGAGACTGTGGATTAAACAAACGTAAACATCAAAATTATTTTCTTCGTTAAAAACTAAATTCACGCAATAACATTAGAAGTACTGTACAGAATTTTCCTATCTCCTAGACACTGTTTTAGCACTGAAACCCGTGAGAGTGACCAGAATCTCATTTCTGATTACAATATCGACACTGCGTCAAACATTAAGGTCATGAGATTAAATGGTACGACCACCAACTAAAGAACTTCTTGATTGATAAACACATTTTCCTTTTCGGTACAGAAGGAATTGAACTGAGAACAGAGTGGAATATATGCATACCGATGCTGGGGTGTAAAGGGGTAAGACCTACAAAAGGAATGGGACCAATCATGAAAACATGAAAAAACATTATCACGGCCACTGACATTGAAGACACTGAATAATAGGAAAAGTTTGCTATGATTCATTCCGCGATGTGATTGCTTTCTTTGACTTTTTTAATCATTCCCTGACACAAGAGACATTTTGTTCATGAAAATGAACTATCGCAGCATGGCAGAGTAAATTTCATTTTCCGTGAGGAATTTTGTGTCTAATGAAAGTGCGTTTCGTTCAGTAACGGAAGCAGGAAAACACGACGAAAGAATGAGATTGAAGAGCGGTGAAATGCGCTTCCTATTTACTCTTTACCACACAGGTCATGTGTGACAGTGTATCCGTAAACAAACTATGGTAAGCATTGTCTTAACACCTGCTCAATGGACAAAACTTTCAAGAATATTATTTCAATTGTTCCATAAACACGCGGTTACAAGCACAACGAAAACCAAAACACTCTCATGACACTCTTATGAGGAGACATCTCTACTTGATCAAATCTCTGCGTTCTAAAAATTCCACTAAAGTTCTCTGTCTCTCCTACATTCCCGAAGAATCTTGAAGTTACCATGGACACCTTTTAAACCCCCCCATAAGAGCCCATCAACGGTAGCATAAACCCTGGCAATTGAGCAGAAACTTATCTATATCTACAGCTGTCATTTGACCCCCTACTGAACGGCCGACAATTCGATTCCAGTTAGATAGCGGTTTATCGTTCTCGCGATAATTTTATTATCATAACATCAGAAATGTGTGTTTTAGCTATCAAGCAATATCTTGTGAAAATATTCCTCGAACAAAAATATGCATAGCTCTTGTTCTGTTATCTTCAAAACATAATATGGGAGCCAGAAATCAATA